TCTTAAAGTTGCTAAGGTTCAGCTTTGGAAAATCCTGTGCCTTTTGAGAGACTTAGCTAGAGATTGTATAAATTCTTGCCTGCTGTTCATGTCTCTGCCTCTCCCTTCTGTTCCCCTCGTCCTATTCCACAAGTTAACTTTGTGGGCTTTGCTGATGTTTAATAAATAGACATCAGCTATCGTTTTTGCTAGCTGGAACTGAGCGCCCTGTACACTTGCTCTGATCTGGATTTAGGGACTGACTGGGAGGGTGCTGGGTGCAAACTCAACTAGAAACTGCCCAGAGTAGTTTTCCAACACCCCCAAACCCGCTAATTCAGCCCTCGGGGACGTACTTTTTAATCATGTGCTCGTAGATCACAGCAGGGACGATGGTGAGGGTGATGATCTGGCCAGCGTTCACGAGGATGTTCGTGACCTCCTTGTCCTTGAGAAGGGAGATGCTACGAATCAGGTTACTTACTCATTGCAAAGGGGGGGGGCATTTGCTGAGCTGAGGACTTTTGCAGAATTGCACAGGCGAGCCTCTCGCTCACAGGCACGCACACACAGATGAACACACTTTCACTGCAGTCTTGCTTTGAGGCTGTGAAGGGAAGCTGACTGGCTTCTGCGTCCCTTTTCCTCCGCTCTTGCTCCTTCCGCTTCAGGAGAACAATGGTTGACCCCTTCCCAAATCCATCCTTCTTTCAAAAAAACCTGTCTCTCCTGGCCTCGATTCCAGCTGAAGCCACAAAAATCTATGGCTCTGCGGTCATTCCTATCTGCCATCGCGTTCCCCTTCATCTGTCATCTTGCTCTCCCAAGAGAAACAGGAAAAGAGACACGTTAAGTCCAGGGTAGCCCAAAATCAGAAGGAATTTGGTGGCATCTTTTCCAACTAACATGTTTGATTAAAAGGCAGAAGCTTTTTAAAGCTTCTGCCTTTTAATCAAATTTGTTAGTCGGAAAAGGTGCCACCAGACGCCCTCTGACTTTGGGCCCCCAAGACATGCAGCAAACTTCCTTCCTTCTTGCTTCTTTTACTGTCCAAATGCATTGAACAAATCATTGAATAATTCAGGCCCCATCCTGCAACTCCTCAGGGACTCTGCGCACTGAGTGCTGTACGTAAAAACACCCCATAGCACTGCTGAAAAACAGACAGAGTTGCATGAATACACACACGCACGCACACACACAGAGGCAGGTTTTGAACCCAACCTACTCAGCTCCTTCCTTACAGCTTCTGACTGCATCACTCCACCCGGGTCCAGATTGTTGATATTATGTGGACTATAAAACTGGGTGCCAAATGCAGCTTTAACAAAAAGAATTGCAAGTTTCTAGTCCTGAAGACTTTGAACAGGGTTCCAGTCTTTCGAGCTTCTCCCACCGCCACTCTGGCGTCAACTGTTCTCCGGCTTCGGCACTCACCTTCAGGCCAATGACATTCTGCCCGTTCACTTCGCAGACGTAGTGGTTGATGAGGAGCCCGTTCTGGGCGGCAGAGCTGCCTCTGACCAGCGAGGTGATCCGCCCCTTCTTCATGACGAACCCCACGTGGCCGGTGCTGTCTTTGTGCATGGTCACCGTTCGCTGGAAAGGCCTAGCAAACACGGGTGCAGAGGAAGGTCTCAGTCCACACTTTTCCTTGAATTTTGCCTCTGAAAGGACGGTTGCTCCCAACCAAGAGGTGAGTTGGGGTATGGAAACCTCTCTGAGGGTCTCGGCCAGGTCCACTATGTAAGGCTGGGCCTGGCATGGGGCAAAGGGAGCGTTCTGCACCCATTTCAGAAGAGGCAAATGCAACTCTTTGTCCGGACTTGACCAAATCACAAAAAACAGGGAAAGGCCCTCTGTGAAAGTTGTGGTCATCATACAAACCACCAAAGCAATTCCTTGGGGTCATCAAGGTCTTCCAGATGCACTTATGGACAGGAACATAAGCTGCAAATGTTCTCCAGAGCAGCACCTCCTAGATGAGGAACGTAGTCACATTGGGCTCACAATGGACCACCGTCTCCAGTTCCCACTCCTCACCTGTCACGAACCACCATCACAATCTTCTCCGGCGAGGACTTCTTCAGCGCCCGCTTAGCCTTGTCCATGTTCCACCCAGCGCAGGACTTCCCGTTGATCTGGAGGACCTGATCGCCAAAGCGCAGCCCCACCAGAGCTGCCGGGGAGTTGGCTTTGACCAGCTGCACAAACAGCCCCTGTGGGAGAGGACACTGCTTGGCAAAAGCCCAGGGCTGCTGGGTGTATCGGCCTGGTGCAAAGAACCACACGGGTGGCCATCTACAGGACTGCAGACATGTCTATAACAGGAGCCACAGCAGGTGGGTGCATCTCTGTGGCTTCTGAATGACCACCGTTCTATAACCGATACCCTGAAGAAAATGCACCTGACATCTGACAACCTTTCAATAGGACCCAGAGAAGACCCACTTATGCTTCCCAGGCAGGGACATCCAGGGGGGTCAAAAAAGTCAAGATGGCAGCCTGAGCCGATTTAAATCCAGGTAGAGGCCAACATCTTGAGGTTTTTGACCCCTCCATGGATGCCCTTGGTCCAAATGCTGAATTTTCACAGAACTGGGAGAAAATATGGTCTTGGGCCTAGCTCTGGGGAAAATAGCACTAATGAATATCAGCAGTAACAGATTTTAATCATCAATCTAAGGCATTTCCTAATAACGACCAGCCATATAAATACAAATCTATAGTGAGTTATGACAGGAAGGTTTTTCCAGGTTCATGAAGGTCCCGCCAAAAGGAGATTTTTTTTTTAAACTTGAAGAGATGGGATTCCAGATAGAGCTCATAATGGAGTCCAGAACAGGAACTCAAGGGGGGGAAACCCTAAATTGTGAAGCAGACATTGTAACAGGAGGAAAATCTAATCTAAGTTATTCAAAAAACTGGGACTTCCTTTACAATGGCCAAAGGTCAGCATCAGCATTTTAAACTGATAGCCCTCTCGGAGATACAACTAATGTAGGAATTGGCCAAAAGAAGAAAGTAGAGGTGATTCAGAAGAGATCTAGGCAGGAATGCCCATAAAAGGGGGGTCGGAAAAGTCAAGATGGTGGCCACGACTGCACCATCAAAGCCCCAGCACTTCTTTATGTGGCATCTTGATTTTTTTGATCACACGCACACAGAAGCGGGGAGGCTTTTGATGGCACAACCGTGCCCACCATCTTGACTTTCTTGACCCTCTCCCTCGGCAGATGCTCCTGGATCTAAGATCACATGGAAAAACACAGCTCAGGGCTTGCCTGCTGAAGTTTCAGCTTTTTAATGCATCCAATTAAAATGATCAGGGAGCAGATAAGAGGCTCCATCTGGTGGGTTTCCAGAGGACCATTACCGCCTTAGAAAATGTCCTAGTTTTTGGATGCATTTCCTCCCCCATAGTTGCTGTCTGAAAGCCCCATAACTGCACAATTTCTACAGCAGTGTTTCTCAACCTTGGCCACTTTAAGATGTGTGGACTTCAACTCCCCGAATTTCCTTTCCCGCCATGGGTTCTGGGATGGGATTCCTGGGGGTTGAGATCCCACATACTCTAAGGTGCAAGGGGTGGGAGATCCGG